GAGGGAGGGAGGGAAGGAAACAGAAAAGGAAGGAATGAGGGAGAGAGGAAAGGAAGGATGGAGGGAAGGAGAGAAGGGAAGGAAGGACTGAGGAAGGGAGAGAGGAAAGGAAGGACGGAGAGAGAGAGGAAGGAAAGAGAGAAAGAAAGGAAAGCAAAGGGAGCCTCCTTCCCCATGCTGGGCTCAGGCTTCTGCCCAGTTCTCCCCCGACCCCTGCCCTAGTTCCTTCCATCACTGGGCAGAAGCTCCTGGGTGGGTAGAAGAGGAACGAGGCACATGCTGGTTTTCTAGACCAGATGTCAGAGAAACACTGGGAAAGGACTTGCCAGCTTGTGTTCTTCAGAAGCGCCAAGTTCATGAAGACCGAGGAAAGACCGAGTCTTTCAGTGGCAGGTGCTTCAGACTGCAGGAGACTAAAGGAGACATGACCACTAACTGCAACGGGGAGTTTGGAACCGGACCTCTTTGATATAAAGTACATTACTGGGACATATGGAGCATTGCAGATGAGGTCTGTGGGTTAGATGGCAGTAATGTATCACTGCTGACTTCCTGCCACTGATGGCTTTGTTACAGAAGTGACTGTCTTTAGTCCGTGAAATAATCAGGAGTGAGGGCCATCAGGTCAGCAGTTCACTCTCAATTCATGAGTGCTGGGGATGTAGCTCAGTTGGTAGAGTGCTTGGCTAATATGCTCAAGGGCCTGGGTTCTGTCCTTGGCACCACACAAACAGCGCATGAGGCATACCCCTGTAATCACAGCACTCGGTGGTACAGGCGGGAAGATGGGAAATTCAAGGTCATCCTTGGCCTCACAGCAAGTTGAGTCCAGCCTGGGATATATGAGACCCTGTCTCAAAAAGCAAACAACACAAAACCCCCAAAAGCTATCCCCACCAGCAGTAATAATAATAATAATGTACTTGCATGTGTTGAGCTTGAGATTGCATTAAACAAATTAAAACAAGCCAGGTGTGGTGGTGCATGCCTTTAATCCCAGCACTTCGGAGGTAGAAGCAAGTGGATCTCTGAGTTTGAGGCCAGCCTGGTCTATACATAGCGAGTTCCAGGCCAGCTGGGGCTACAGTGAGACTGTCTCAAAAAGACCAAAAAACCCAAAACAAAACAACAAAAAAGTTAAAACAAACCTCTAGGGGGATAATTGCTAAAACTTCTTACTTTAAAACAACCAGACACCTAAAATGCTTAGCTCAGAGCTTGGAAAATAGCATCTGCCCTATAAATGGTATTGTTATTAAAGAACCAGAGGAAAGGGGATGGGAGCCCACAGAAGCAGGCTAAGAGGGCTCCCTTGCCACTTCTTCCCAGCAGATGATCTGGCCCCACATTTTCCCTGCAGGAAAAGGCAGGCAGAGAGGACCAGATAGGAAGGGAGGGAGAAGAGAGAGATTTCCAGAAGCAACATGGGATGCTGGGGAATTCCTGGAACTGACCACTTGAGGTGGCCATTTATAGCAAACACTCTAAGCTCATGGCATGCCCTTTAAGGAATTAATCAGTATACTCTGACAGTCAGGGTTCATGTTTTCATGTGACTTCCTTCCCTCCTTCCCTTCCTTCCTTCCTTCCCCTCCTTCCCCTCCCTCTCTTCCTTCCTTTTTTTGAGACAAGGTCTCACTATCTAACCCATTGCTCTTAGAACTCTTATTGTGTGGAGACACAATAAGAACTGCCATCTTGGATTTTTAGAACTTGAGTAAGAGTAGAATTGTACAGAATAAAGTAAAAGCAATAAAAATGTTCTAGGAAGTATAGAAGTTAAGAAGAAATAAACTTGGGGTTGGTCTATTTCGGCACTAAATAATTTCTTTTTCATTTTTTGAGACAGGGTCTCGCTATGTAGCTCTAGCTAGCCTGGAACTCTCTATGTAGACCAGGCTGACATGGAACTCACAGATTTACCTGCCTCTGCTAGGATTAAAGACGTGTGCCACCTTGCCCCATTGTGAGTTTCACTTAATTTTAATTCTAAGATCTAGTGTCTCCTGTGTTTTTTCATGCAACTGTCAAGCAGACTGCAACTCATCT